CCAGATTTAAAAATTATTATTTATATTACAATATCTTTGAATCTAATTTAATAATTTTTATTCTATTTCCTTAATCAATATTTTAATTGATTATAAATCTTTGTAGCCTTGTTCTTTGTTCGTGTTTGGCTCGTTAACTTATCGAACAAAATTAACGAGCCGAACACGAGCTTCTTAACGAGCTGAACACGAGCTGTTCGCGAACAACGAGCTGTTTTGACAGCCCTAACTGTAGATGTCCATAATTAAATTTTTTTATGATCTCTTTCTCTAGCCTTATCCACAAGAAGGATATCATCAACAAAAAGCATAGACTAAGGTACATCCTCATATAATTGTTAAGTAAAAGATACGGGCTTAAAAGACGATCTTTGATGTAATCCAACTAAAATAGGAAAATATTTGGTCAATCCTCTTTCTGTTTGAATGCAAGTAAAATCTCTAGTATACATATCTTTAATGACTTGAATATAAGTCATATCAACACATTTCTTCTCTAGAAATTTCTAAAGGATATCTCTTGAAACCTTATCGCAAGCTCTTCTAAATCAATGAAATTCATATGTAGATCCCTCTTATTTTTTTTGTACTTCTCCATCAAATCTCTCAATAAACGTATAACTTTCATAGTAGATCCATCCAACATAAATCCAAACTAATTATGAGAAATATTTATAATATGTCTTTACCTATGTTCTATCACACTCTACCATAATTCTAAAGTACGACATATTGTTGACCTCATTTTTGTTGAGGTCTAGTATTTCTTCCTTAGAAGCCTAAGATCTAGTCATATAGGACTTTTCTGTTGATTATCCTAGAGGACTAGTAAGGAACCCTACGCCATTAGAAATTCTAAACACTTCTTTATTTTTATTGGAGTTCTAAATATTTGGTTATAGCTTCTTACACTTAGTAGGATGGAGCCAATATGGGGGAGCTCAAGAAGAGTCCCCACAAGACTGTCTGACCTTAGGGTTAACCATCATGGTGTGGGCTTAGTCAATCTTGCGCACACACACTTGAACCTCTTACTTTCACTCACAACCAAAAATCCTAAACCAAACATGCTCAGTCTGATTCCCTACTCTTTTGAAAACTCATGTGGGTGGTCCCCCAAACCTTTAGCCTTTGGATAAGATGCCTAGGACTAACACATGGAAGGTCTAAAATAGGGATTACCTTGACCTCATGGAACGAAATGGGCAATTTTAGGATTGACAACCTTAATTGACAGAAATTTCACCTTTGACCTTTTGCCCATATTGTGAGATATGTACTTCCTGGCATAGAAATAAAACACAAAGAACACAAGCAAACACAGGCAAACACAGATTATCGTTTACGTTGTTCGATCCAACTGGATCTACGTCCACGGGAGGGAATCAATCAATTAGTTCACTAAGACAAAATAAATGGAGAATACATAGCTTATACGCTCTCATCTTCCTTCTATGGCCTCCCTCTCAAGTGACCCCTTGATACAAGGCCTCAAGATGCTCTCCTCCTCTCTAGCTCTCTAACTATTCTCTCCTCCTTTGTGGTAGCTTAAGATCTCTTCCCTTGCTTTCCTAAGCCTCACACCCTCTCTATTTGTAGAAGCAAGAGAGTGATAAGTGGGAGATAGATGAGGAGTAGGTGAGCGGTAGGTGAGATGTGGTAGGTGAGTGGTACCACATTACAAAAGTGCCCTTTTACCTTAGTTTAATAATTGGGGGTCAAAATAACAATTCTCCACCTTGACCCTCAATTGAGAAGCTTCGAAGTAAAGATTCCCTCCACCTGGCCCTTGAGGGGCCCTCAGCCCTTGCTTGAGTTTGCTAGGTCCAAATAGTACATGGACTTAGCAATCACAATTCTTCCGATAAGAGAGTACAACCCCTTTTTCCTGACTCCTTGTATGATGACACGAGGGCCTTTGGTTACTCTGATGCAGCCATTCTCTGCCTTGAACGGGACCTAAAGAAATTAGATTTCTTTTGAGCTTTGGTACTTACCTGATATTTTTCTGTACTCATTCAACTTCATCAAACATCCTTATTCTGATTGATCCACTTGCAACAACCCTGTGAGCCTTATTGTCTCCCAGTAGAGCGGACCCATCATTTTCCTGTTGCAGTGTCTCGAACCAGTCTTTGTGAGGACACATGTGGAAAGAACACCCTGAGTCGAGGATCCACTCCTTATTGGATTCAAATTTTGTGATCACCAGGGCCTCAGTAAAATCCTAGTCATCAGAGGCTACGCTTGCTTCTCCTGATTTTTCTGGCTCTTCTTGGCACTTATTCTTCATATCTGGATAGTTCCTCTTGAAATGACCGTCCTTGTGACAATGATAGCACTTGAAAGATCCCCTTGATGACTGATTCCCGCCATCCCTGCTTGACCTTGATCTATACTGACCATTTCTTGAATATTTCTTGTCTGATCTTCTTCTAACAATAAGACTGTCTCCGCTGACTTCCTTGTCCCTGTCATGCTTCCTCTGAAGTTCTTTGACTCTAATCAGAGATTGAACCTCCTCTAGAGTAATAGTTTGCACCCTTCCATGGAGCATCTCATCCTTGAAATGCTCGTAGCTCTTAGGAATAGAGTTTAACAATAGTTGTGTCTTGTCATCATCGTCCATCTTGACGTTGATGTTCTCGAGGTCATTGATGATTTTGTTGAACTCGTCGATCTGCTCTGAGAAGGATTTATCTTCATGCATTTTGAAGGAGTATAGGTGCTACTTCAGAAAGAGCCTATTAGTCAGAGACTTTGTCACTTGAGCCGTTGTCTCCCTCGACACCTCCCTCAGAACTTTATCGCCCAGGCTCAGGATTATCAAACTGTGAGCCTTGTCCAGCATGTCGATCTTCTCCTTCTCGGTCATGTCGACCGGCAATGCCGCCGACCCTTGCAAGGCTTCTGCAACACCCTGTTGAACCAATAGAGCTCTCATCTTTACTCTCCATAGGCCGAAGTCGTTCTTCCCATTGAATTTCTCAATGTCAATTTTGACGGAACTCATTATCGTGGCTATGATTTATTCCAATGAATTCTACATGCTGCCCTTCCAAGACCTAGGCTTCTCCCTGTGAACTCCACTGCCTTCGCCAACCGATTGGAGAGCTCCGATCCCTTCTGGAAGAGATCACACTTGTTCACTGGAGAAAACTTCTTATTTTGTGCTCCCGCCTCCTTCCCGCGAGAGCCGTCGCGCCTCGCCAAACTGCTCAGGTCCTCATGCTTCGCGAACTCCCGAACAGGGGACTCCCCGAACCCTTCGCAAATTTTCAGTCCTCGCTCGCGGACTGTTCCTCCTCCATCTCGCCGAATCGCACAACCTGCGGTGCGAATCCAGTCGATCAAAGCTTCCACTGCTCACCGAAGCTACCGCAATTTGGCTGCCTGCAACGCGATCCGCTTGCTCCTCTGTTCGTGAATGTCGAACTCCTCTTCTTCATTGCTGGTCGCGAACACCTTTACGTGGACACCTCTAGCCAAGAAGTATGGATCTTCTCACAGACGACGTCAGTTGTTGTGAG